GATGTTCATTTAAAATACAATTTATTTATAGCTAAATGTAATTTATAATTTGATGTTATTATCATTTAAAATTGTTATTCAGTAGTTTTAAACCACTTATTATTAATAATAAGTTAAAGAAGACTTTTAAGAAACATTTCATATTATTATTAAAATGTAAAATATACACTAAATAATAAAGTGATAAGATAGACAATTTGCATTTCAAAAGAGACTTGCATAAATCATAGGGCATATCCATGTAATTTGATTTTATTATTTATAATTATTGCTTATTAAATTTAAAACCACTTATTATTAATAAGTGAAGGAAACTTCTAAAAGCACTTATTGATATAATTAAAATGTTAAACCTATACTAAAATATAAAGTGATAAGATAGATAATTTGCATTTTAAAAAAGGCTTACATGGATAATATGACATATCCATGATTTTTAATTAATTATTGTTTTGAAGCAACATGAACATACAAACATGTATACAATAGTTAATTAAATATTTTATATATCATCTTCCATAACATATGATCGAAGACACGAATCTAATCTAATTTACATTAAAATTTCAACCACAACATACAATGATATTCTTAAAAGTATATTTAAATCAACAAAATACAAAAAAATAATTATTATATAACAAACTTACAAATTAAAAACTTCAACATAATAACATGGCTCGCAAAATTGTTCAAAGCCCTCAAACAACATAAAAAACTTTAAACTTGTATTCTTTTTGAATTTTGTATGTTATTTGTATTTGTGTGTCTACTAAAAAAAAATTGACCTTTTTATAGTAGAGTATCCAATAACTGTTTATTAAATATATTATATAAGTTATAAAACCTTTGAATTGTTAATCATTATTAAGAGACTTTTGAATGGTATTCATTAAAATAGAAGGTTTTCAAATACATGAGGTGTTTGCAAATTTTTATGGGGGTTTCAAATGCATGAGGTTCAAGGAAAAATGCTAGCTTTGTAAGTATGTATGATTAGTTAGAATACTTGAACCTATATATATATATATATATATATATATATATATATATATATATATATATATATATATATATATAGCGTTAAGTTCAAATGAGAACACTATTTAATGTGAGAACGTGAGAACACTACTCTACGTTACTATTCTACTATGAATTTTGTATATACAATTATATGACATTATTGATCAACAAATATACGAACAATCACACATTAATATTCACATTAAAAAATTTTATGTACAATTTTATGACATTATTCATCACCGAATATATGAACAATCACATATTTAACATTTACATTAGAATTTACTAAATTACTACAATACTATAGATATTAAATTCATAGTAGCATAGTAACGTAAAGTAGTGTTCTCACGTTCTCACATTAAATAGTGTTCTTATTTGAACTTAACCATATATATATATATATATATATATATATATATATATATATATATATATATATATATATATATATATATATATATATAATATATATATAGAGAGGAGAGAGAGAGAGAGAGAGAGAGAGAGAAAAGAGAGAGGAACTTCATCACTTATGGATTTATTAATTTGATGAGTTTGTTTTGTAGGGTCCATTATTTTATGACTATATAAATGAATTTGATTCAAGGATTATGATGAAGTTCTTTGGTTTGCTCACAATTTTGAGATTTTTTTTTAACATTGCCTGTTTTCTAAGTTACGTTCCAAAAAAACCATAAATTTTTTAAGGAACCAATAAATCGATCAAGTCTTTTTTTTTTTTAATAAAAATTTAAGACTGTAAATAGATATGACACTTTTTTTAGATATT